CCAGCACCCCGCACCCGTGGCCACCAGCCCGCCCGCCGACCAGCTGCAGCTGTAGATGGTGCGCTCGTGGAAGCCGCCCACCGCCGCCTCCAGCTCAAACGCCGGCGTGGCGCCCTCAAAGCGGCAGCGCCAGATGCGGAGCGTCCTGTCGTCGCCGGCGGAGGCCATGCGGCGCCCGTCGCGGCTGAAGGCGACCGACCAAACGGTGGACGTGTGGCCAGAGGGGCCTGGGGTGGGGTGGGGCACCCGGGGCGGGGCCGGCGATAGGACGAGGGGCGTGGCTCAGTGGGGTGGTGCCTTTGAGCTCTGTAGGGTTGTGCGAGCCCTTCCGGCGTGACCAAGGGGGGTTGTGATGGCGTGCTGAGAAAGGGGCGGCTGTCGAGCTCGGAGTTGGCAGCGCAGGTTCCAGCCGGCCCCGCAGCCAAAGCCCGGCTGACGCACGCGCCCCTCCCGCAGCTACGCCCCTCCTGCCCCTCTTGACCCTCCCGCCCCTCCGCATTCCCCGAGGCCGCACCCGCCAGCGTCTGCGCGCACTCCCACTCGTCCCCGCCCTCCGCCACCCAGAGCTTGATCGAGTCGTCGTACGAGCAGCTGGCGAGAAGCTCCCCGCCCGGGTGCCACGCGACCGCCTTCACGTCAGCTGAATGGGCGGGTTTGACGTCCAAGCACTCGAATTCATTGCCAGGCAGGTGCTCCCACAGCCAGACGGCCTTGTCGCGGCCGCAGGTGGCGAGGACGCCGCTGCCGGCGGGGCTGAAGGCGGCGCACTTGACCTCATTTTCGTGGCCCTCCAGGGTGGCGACCTTTGGCGGGAAATTGGAATTACAAAAAAGCAGGCGAGTGGGGGCTGCCTGGACGCGGCCGAGGAAAAAACATTGGGATTCGCGACGACTTGGCATTGAGGCGAAGCAGTGGCCCGGCAGCTCTGTGGGGCACACCAAATACAGGCATGCAGGCGTGGCTGCGTGGGCCCGTTTTCGGTGGCGCTCAGGGATCCACCGCGCGCCGCGCGCCGCTTGGCGGCGGGGCCCTAGAGGCAGTCAACCCTTGCTCCCTCTGCTGTGTTGTGAGTGTCCCCACGGAAATCCCCTGAGGCGTACGGCATGCAGTGGCTGGGCGCGCAAAAACGGAAGGCTCCGCAACACCGCCGCCCCTTGCCCATCCGCCCGCTCACGCTCTCCCAGACGCCGCCTTGGCGCTCCCAGATGGCGGTGATCCCGTCGAAGCCGGCCGTCGCCAGGTGGCGGCCGTCGTGCGACCAGGCTGCACAGCGGATGGTTTTTGTGTGGGAATCCTCCAGGACTGCGGTGCATGCATATGGCTGCGCCTCTGGCTTCTGCTGCTGCTGCTGCTGCTGGTGGTCTTGTTTGGCATAGTCTGAAAAGGGCGCGTCGGCGGCGGCGGCGCCGCCGCTGCCGCGTGCTTTTGTGGGCGCCCAGATGCGGACGGTTTTGTCGGCGCCGCAGGTGGCAAGCGCACTCCCTGCGCGTGCAGGGCCGGGAGGTGAAGCAGACAATAGAGGTGCATTTTTCCCAAACAATCGCATCTGCTCAGCTTGGTCGCATGCGTTTCAGGGGGGCGCAGGCACACCGCGCTGCTGTGCTGCTGCGCCGCTGCGTCTCACCATCAGGGGCCCATGCCACACACCAGACGCGATCTTCGTGCCCTTGTAACGTCTGAAATAAAATCAAAGAATCCATGCCGCGTGTATCGGCGGTCTGAGACGTGCGCGGCAAAGAGATCGGGCTACCAGATCAGCAATGCAGCAACAAGGGTGATAGGCGACGGATGAGTTGCAGCTACTGTGCACTGTTGATTACTTGATTGCATGCCTGTGTCCGGGGCATTGTGTTCCTGACAGCCGTTGTCACCAGGTGTCACCCAATGATGGTCACTAGCATTACTACGGTATAGCCTGCTTCATAAGCGTGTTACATACAGCAGTGCAGTGACCTTCTTGATTGATGGCGACGCACACGATCCCTGTTTTCTCTGGCATCTTGGACAACGGGCAGCATTTGCATGCGGGCTGCAAAGCGCGCCGATGCAGAGGCCATCCCTGCCCATGCTATTCACTGCAGACGGCAAAGGCCCCGAGCACCAGTAGATCAGGTATCAGGTACGAGTTGCTTGACGTCACGGCAGATCAAACAATTGTGCTTTGAAGACACTCATCATGCGGGCTGTTGCTGCACAAGCCCAGCAAGGCCCAGCGCTTCATAAATGCCAAAACTTTCGCTTGTTCACTGGCGAAGCCCAGTGTGCAAAGGAAGGGTGCCCATGCCTGGGCGCAACAGGGCTGATCAATGCGTGTAGACTTGCCAGGGGGATTGTGCCTAGCGGGACGATGGATCGGTTGGCTGGCCGTTGCGCCGCAACCGAACAAGAAAATCCTTCAGGCTGCGCCGTGCGCACGATGCCAGAGCTTTATTGGATTGTGCGCACGAATCCAGGAGCATTCACACAGACAAGCCCGATACATGGGCTCACAAGAGGGAATCGAGGGAAGAATGGGGCGTGTTGAAAGCTGTGGACCCCAAGGCTGATGCAGCGAGACGCAGCTGCCAAAAGCAGGATCGCTGCATACGCGTCCGAGCTTCTCTGCACCCCACGCCATTTCGGCGCATTGCTGGGAGACACGGCGGAGACCAGCGTTAGCGAGGCTTGGCAACTAGGCTGCAAAGTTGATGCTCGATTGCGTCAGCGGGTTGTGTCAACACAACACTGAGCTTCCGGAGTGCGCGCAGGAGCACTTATCTACATAAATAGTCTTGCATACCGGCCGTGCGCCGCAGCAGTGATCTCGTGTTAGCTATTTGCGTGTCGCGGGGACAACACACACCATGCCGGCGCCATCCTGGACGAGCAGTGCGTGGCCTTACGTTCGAGGTCCCACAGCCGAGGCGGAGCAGGCCGCTGCGGAGGCACAGCGGCAAGCGTCACGCCTGCCGCCGGGCGCAGCCCAGCGCGTGCACTCACTCCAGCAGATGCTCCGCTCCCTATCCGCTCGCGGGTGAGCGTGCCTGGCGACTGCATTTCGGCGATGTGCAATACGGGCCGCTGCCTCTGCGGCACTCCCGACCAACTCGAGCGCCGCGGGTTGGCTGCGGCACAGACCCTGCCACCACCATGTGAAACAGCCGCACCACCCAAAACATCGGCAACGATTTCGGTATGCGACCTGCACCCATCCCAATGTATCTAATACCCCAACCCCAGACTCTGGGACCTGGCCGTCAAGCGCAACGCGCTGACCACGTCGTGCGTGCTGCTGGGCGGCGTGCTGGTCGCCGACGCGCTGCTGTTCCCGCAGGGCGCGCGGCAGCAGCGCAGGCAGCAGCAGCAGCAGCAGCAGCAGCAGCAGCAGCAGCAGCAGCAGCAGCTTGGTCAGCAGCAGCAGCAGCAGCAGCATCCTGAGCACCAGCAGCCTGCCAAGGTGAGCATTTTCGTATCCCCCTCCAGCCTGGCCCTGGTTGTGCTGACGCTCGCCCAATGGTCTGTGAGCCCCTTTCACCTCCATTCCACAGTCAGGGATACCATTGTCACAGCTGCTCTTGGATCGCAGTCCCACCCCAGGCACACGGCCCCCTCCCACGGCTTCCCCCTCCACCCCCACCTCTCCCCCGCCGCGTCTCGTCACAGGCATGAGGCTGCAGCGCCCCCGATCGCCCGGCTTTCCGCCCCGCACGACACGCAGCCATGAGGCTGCCCGGCTTGATTCCCCCGCCCCCGCAGTCGTCCCAGCTTGCCCTGCGAATGCCGCCGCGGCGGACACGCGCCCCC